GTATATTTCAATACGAACAATTTAAGAGGTCATAAACTAAAATCCGTTAAGAACAAGCAGAGATATATATTTTTCAAAAAAAAGTACAAAAAAATTAAAAATCCAATATGTCCGCCAATTTTTGAAATTTTTTAAAATCGCTTGGGGATTTTATTTATTACCACCAGAGGATATAATCTACCCAATTTCAACCGAATCCCAAAACCTAATAAAATTTTTTGTATTGAACTGACGTGGAATACACCAGTAAATAAATTTTAAAAAATTGTAAAGTTAAAAATATTTAATTATTATTTTAATTTTTGAATAAAGTTTAAAATTATAAAGCAATTTTTAAATGTTATCTTCTAGTGTAAAAAATTATTTTCAAATTATAATAAAATATCTATAATATAATATATAATATTTCGTGTGGAAAAGTGTTTTGGTGCAAACTAGAAAGCATCTAGCATCGTTAGTCTGCAAGTTCAAACTTGGTCCAATTCTTGTGCTGCTCAGCTACTAATCCGACCGTAGCTAGTGTGGGATATTTAGACAGACCCAGCTCTGGTGTTAGCCATATAGGTATAGGTATAAGGTGTACGTCGCAGTCTGGAAGGTCTTTCTTGGGCAAGTTCTGGCGATGCTCAGCTTTTATTATATTTAATATTCATTAAATATTAAGAATATTATTATATATTAATAAATATTTATAAATATAAAAAATGGTAAATATTAATGCAGCCTCGAAATTTTAAAGGTTGTTTATGAGAAATACATTTCAAGCGCCAGAAGATTTTTCTACACGGGTAAGGAAACGACATGCTGATCGATAAAAGCTATATCTATGAAGGTTCTCTCAACTTTATTTGTCATACAAATTATTAAATAAATAGTTTATAAATAAGAAATAATTAAACCATAAAAATGAAAAATATTTTCATTTATTGATTATTATTTTTTCAACTCAAATGGTATGTTTAAAATAAAGAGAAAGACTTTTTGTTTCTGAGATATTTATTATTAAATAAGTATATTGGTAAGAATTAGGCAAAAATACTTTATATAGGGATCACTGATTGCGAAATTTAATGACCATCCTCACTTCACTTGTTTATAAAATATATCATTTTTATTAATTAAATAATAATACCTGGAAAAGTAAAAGAAGCGTAATTTACAGCTTAAACTTTATTTTAAGGCTAAAAAAACCAAATGTCCATTTTCAAAAGAAGGGTTAAATTTGAAATTTGTTCAAACTGGACAATCTGGATATCTTACAAGGGCCGGTCAAATTTCCCAAAAAAATGTTTTACGTAATTTATGGACGGCCCCTAAATAAAATTTCATGATATTTTGTTGTTGAAGTATAGTCCCTGATAGTAATAAATATTAATTGTTCTGACAGTTGCCAGTGGCTAAAGTCATTTAAGAAGAAGAAATACTAAATATTATAATATAATAATTATATTTAATTAAATTTTACGTTTCTCACAAGCGCAGAAAAATATGTCTGTTGAGAATATAATATGAAATTGCAAAGCTTTTCATGGCTCAACGAATTATTCATGTATGCGTTGCATTATAGATTATATAAGAATACGATTAACCAATCAAACTAAATCTATTATACTTTATGTATAGGTACTGAAAAAAATTCCCCTTCGTTTAGAAAAAGAGAAGAATAAAATTAATAATAGTATAATTATTAAAATGATTACTGTATAAATAAGAGTTGCGTTGCACTGACAAGGGTACGGTAAGATTTTCTGAAAAAAATTTGTTTCATGCCATCAAGTAGAATCATAAGAAGTAAATTTTCTCGGAAAATTCTAAGACGCACTAGGCTAAAACAACGGAGAAAGGGTTAATTCCTGACTCAATTTAATAAATAAAAAACTTTTTACAGCTGACCAGTAATTTTAAATTCAAACCTCTCCTGTAATTTAATTATTTCTATAAATATTTACTAAAACTTATCCAAAATTCGATTATTTTTAATTTTATTTGAAGAAACAATTATTCAAAAAATTTTCAATTTAATGTACCTACATTAAAAATTCAAGTATTTTGAAAAAAGTATGACTAAAAATTCATTTAAAAAAATTTCCTTATAATTTTTAATTACAATTATTCAAAATACCAATTTTAAAAAATTTCAATTTGTAAGCTTTTGAAATTTAATTTTTTTAAAAAATTTCTAGTAAGGGGTCATACACAAACTATGTAAGGCTTTAAGGGTGGAGGGGGGGTCAAGTTAAACCTTACGAACAGCAGAAAAATGGCGCTAATGTATAGAAAGTGTCTTACGATGGGGGGAGGGGGTGGTCAAAATTTTTCAAAATATGCCTTACCTAGTTTGTGTACGAACCCTAAAATTCTTTCAATATTTTCAGAAAGTTCTTCAAAACTTAAATTACCTAAGGAAATGCAAAAATTTAATTTTTTTAAAAATTAGAATTGACTTTTTAAAGTTTTTAAAGTGAAAAAAAGTTAAAAGACAATTTAAGGTTTTCAATATTTTTAGAGAACACCAAAAACCTTTTAGGAGCATTTCTAGAAATTTAATTATTTTTACTATATACTTTTGGAAATCTGACTTCCCTGATTTCCCTACTTTAATATTTTTAGACCATCTGCATTTTTTCTGGGTTTTAAGAGTAAAGAAAAATGAACTTTTTAATTAAAATTTTTCATTTAAAAAACAAATTGTTTTTTGGTGAATTAATACCTATAAAATGAACACTTTTAAAAATAATATTATTTATTTATTTATTATCAATTACATTAATTTTTTGTAAAATCTATATTACTGTACGTTAATATACTTTGCTTCTCCAACTTATCCCCACTCTAGCGGTGTTAAATGTAATTTCCATAGTCCCCACCAGACGTCCAAATAAACGACTTCGAACGATATAACGGTCACATCAGTAGGCAGAGGGTTAAGGTTTATTTTTAATACAAAAATAAATTATTCAAATAATTTTTTTATAGCACAACATTAAATGATGACACTTTTCGAGTAATTAAAGTTTTGAGTAATTTTGCATTAAAAATGAGATTTAAAATTAGGTTAATAACTTTAAAGGCATTTTTTCTAAAAAATTTGGATTTGTATGAAATAATCAAAAGATTTAAAATTTTGTACAATAGAATGAACTTATAGATTTTAAAAAATTGAAAAAATTAACGCAGCTTCATAAAAGAAAATTTTTTTTAGTTAAAATTTACTTATTAAAATGTATTATTATTTAGGTTAGTTATTAATTTATTTATAATCGAAAGGTTTAAAAATGTTAACAATAGAATATACTTCTGGATTTTAAAAAATTAAAAAAATTAACACACCTTTAGAAAAGAAAATTTTTTTTAATTAAAATTTATTTTATTTTTATATTAACGATTTAGTAGAAATTAAAAATATTTTTCAAGAATTTACAAAAGTAAAGAAAGAATGCTTAGCCAGTAATGGAACAGTACGGGCGAGGCAACTGCTGGCACCCCAGTACTGATGAAATACTGTATCTATCGTAAATGACATTTTTGCTTGGGGATAGGCTTAAAATATCAGATATTATAATTTCATAACTGAGATATTATGTTTAAATATACAAAAGTATTTTTAGTTCCTATAAAATTAATATAATATAAACCATATTTTAATCCAGACTTATTATGTATATCTAAAAATAAGATTTCAATGCCATAAAATATTGTTTTAAAAAAAAGCAATATTAAAATTAATGCTTAATTTTTTACGTTACAATTTTAGAAAAAATAAAAAAAAATTAACAAAAAGAGGAAGTTGCAATTAAAATACTTGTTCACCCCGTCCAGCCCCATTCACTTTACTTTCTACGCTACTTTCATTTTATATAATAATTAAAATATGTGTCAGTTCACTAGTTTTTAAAATATCCTCGTGGTCGCAAATATGTAAACTTCCAATATTAGTTAATTAATATTTTTTCATATGTTCATTATTATGATAAACAATTTCAAGATATTCAACAATAAGATATTTTTCACCCATTGCAATTATTTCGTCTTTAAAATCTTTTGATACGATCAAAAAAAGTGTTTCCAAAATTCTTTAAAAATATAAGGAAAATTATTTAGCGATGATAATAATAATATTTTCCAAAGATTAAAATTTTTGAAAATAATTGCATCTTTTTAAAAATAAAAGCATTCAGTAAGGAAATTGTAAGATATTTGATACAATTATGAATAATACAAATATGGATAATTCTTTACATAAAAATAATTTTTTTATAAACTGGAAGTAATTTCTTTTTTTAAATTTCCTTTTAAATAAACTATATAAAATTTAATTAACTTTGACTCGAGGGGAATTTAAAATTAGACAAATTAAAGACATTGCCCGTTATAGGAAATAAAAATTTGCATAACTGCTTTTAATATACATTATTGTTTTCATATTAAATTGAACAAACTCTCATTTGTGAACAGCTTGAGATGATGTAGTACATTTCCTCTCACTCACACAGTTTCCCCTTCTCTTTTTTATATCGCGGTTGTGGATAATGAAACGTGCTTCACCTAAAGACACACGTTTTTTGCAAGCACTTCACTCTTGCGAATACTTTCATCATAGACGTCCTGTTATAATCTATGATTATAGCAGTACTTTGCTTATAATTTATGAAAATACTAGAATTGGAGTGAAGGAAAATAAAAAAGAAGAAAGTAAACCAAACTATGAATTTATTAAAGCTGTTTTTGTTAATTTTTGTTAAATTAACAATTAGGGTGTGGAACGTATTGAGGACTTGAAAAATTTATCTTATATTTATTAATAAAATTTTTAATTACTTTGATATTGGTTGAAAAATTTAATTTATCTAAAAATAAGAAATTAGTTATATTAATTATTACATATATGTATATGTACATAAATAAATAATATAAGTAATTAAATTGATATGTTTAAAATTGAAGAAAGGGTAAATAAGAGATTGTCTTACATTTATCAGTCAAATTGCAAGGTCACTCACCTTTCTTTCTTTTTGTGCTAGAATTTACGGCATGTGTTGTTTCTAAAGATGGAATGATTATAAGAAAAATCAGAAATATTGTGGACATAATGTTATTTTCAAGTGGTTTGCCTCCACCAAAGATGTTGAAAAATTTTATTAACGTTAACTCCATTTTCCAATAGTTTATATCACTATCTTAACAGGAACTGATTTCTAGGACCCACAGTTAAAAACATTCAACTGTCACTTTTTATTTGGTGGTTCACAAAACAATTATTATTGTTTTCACAAAAAAGAACTATATAACACCATTAAATTTGGAGCACTATGAACAAAAATTTTAATAATTACATAAAAAGAAACTGATTTATCTTATAACTCAACTCGTCGATGCTGTTGCACACCTATTTAATACCTATCGCTCCACCTTCGCTACTCACTATTGGCTTCTGTCCCAATTCTCTATCCAATGGTACCACTCTCACGCGCGCGTTCACCTCCTTTTCAAATATGCCACGCGAACGGAGAAGTGGCCCGTTCATATCCTCAGACGTAGTGTTTCCTATGTTAACGCGTTCTCCAAGGAATTACACTTTCGGCTTTACTCAAATGTATATCTGCACTGGAAATACGTTTTACACGTCATTAAAATATTGGCTTCACTTATAAAATCTTTCACCTCTCTAGAATCTACTTTGTCAACTCCTAAAGCTGTTGCCGTTTTCAACTTACAATAATATTACTTTTCCATAAAGTCAAATGATTTAATAAAATACCTATAGCAGTTCCATTATATATTTTTAAAGAAAACAACTTTATAGCAGTTCCTCTGTAGAAAAACTTTTCAACAATTCACGCTCACTTTCAAATATTGTAGGTGAACTGACTGCAAATCCTATTAATTTAATTTCACACATATTGTAAACTTATTGTACAAATTACACAATTGAAAAAGAAAAATTTAGTACGTTATAATAATAATGCATACACGTTGAAACTAAGATAATGAAAAGAGTTCGTTTATTCATAGCTGGCATATTCAACTTTCTATCTATATTTCTTCAAGTTTTTGTGTAGCCTTACATTTAGTCCCTTAAATAAAAATAGTAAACATTCTTCTGAAATTTTAAACACATATTTACTTATAAATTAGAGCTAAAGTCAGATATTAAAATGGAACCAAATGTCGATTTAATACCCAAATTGGTTCTAAATTGATAGTTATATTTTTACAGTTTTTCAAGTTTTAATATTAAAAACTGTTAGTTGCCACGTAACCTGGAAACCTGGAAATGTTAGGAAATTTTATAAACCTTGAAAAAACCTGAAAAAGTCAGGGAATTTTGATCGAAGTCCTGGAAAATTGTTGTATTCTAAAGTAATTGTGTTTATTCTTGAAATCTAATTGAAGCAATTTCAAATTAATACAGAAATTCAATTATTCTCAAAAGTATCTTAAAATTCTTCTCCAAAATTCAATTATTTTCAAAAATTTTTAAGACAAATTTCTTGGCAAAATTTTAATTATTTTCAAAAACTATCCTCAATTTAATGATTTTTAATATCTAGTACTTTAATAAAAATCCATAAAAGAATTCAATTTATTAAAAAGAAATTTTAATAACATTATTCTATCACAAACATTTCATTATTTTCATAAATAATAAAAATTTCCCAGGAATTCAATTATTTAAAAAATGTTTTTATGAATAATATAAGATTTTTTACAGGGATTCAACTATTTTCATAAATAAAAAAACTCATCGTAGACTTTCAATTATTTTCAATACAATTTTAATGGAATTCCTTCGAAAAATGCCATTATTCTTAAAAATTTTTTATCAAAGAAATTTTATTTTAAAAACCTTTGCCTATATTTTCAATACATTTTTTAATTAAATTTCTTCAAAGAATTAAATTATTTTCAAAAATTTTAATTGAAATTCTTTGTAACAATTCAATTTCTTTCAATATAATTTTAATAATATTATTCGTAGAAATTTAAATAATTTCAAAAATTTGTCAAAATTCAGTTATTTTCAATGTCTACTATTTAAATAAAATTTTACAAAAGAATTCAATTATTTAAAATGAAATTTTAATAAAATTCGTCTCAAGAATTGAATTATTTTCAGGAGTAATTAAATTCTTTGCAAAAATTCAATTATGTTAAAAAATTTACAAAAATTCTCGCCAAAATTTCAATTATCTACATAAATAATAAAATTTTTCTCTGAAATTCAGTTATTTTCAAAAATTTTAATAATGTTTCGTAACAATTCAATTTTTTTAAAAATAATTTTAATAAAATTCTTCGCAGAAATTTAAATAATTTCAAAAATTTGTCAAAATTCAATTCTTCTAAATGTCTACTATTTCAATAAAAGTTCATCAAAGAATTCAATTATTTAAAAAGAAATTTTAATAAAATTCGTCTCAAGAATTCAACTATTTTCCAAAGTTAAAAAATTCTTCGCAAAAATCTAATTATGTTAAAAAATTTACAAAAGTTCTCGTAAAAATTTCAATTCTCTACATAAAAAATAAAATTTTTCTTCGAAATTCAATTATTTTCAAAAATTTTAATAAAATTCTTGGCAGAATTTTAATTATTTTTAAGACAATATTTCATCAAATTTCTCGAAAAATGAAATTATTCTTAAAATTTTTATTAAAATTTGTTAAAAGAATTCAATTATTTAAAAATTTGTTGCTAAAATTCTTTATGAAAATTCAATTTTAAGAAACATTGAATTATTGAATAAAATATTTATTGAATTCTCATATCGAATTTTCTAATAAATATTGAATTAAAAATTAATTTCAGTTAAAATTTTAGATTATAATTGAATATTGAAAGCATTAAAATCTTTGTTTTGAACTTTTCATACTTTTAATTAAGAATTCTGTAGAATTATTTTTTTTTAAAGTTTAATTGAATTTTTTAAAATTATTTGAAGTTTTTAATTTCTAATAAATATTTAATTGAAAATTGTCAGAATAATCGAAATTTCGTAAAATTAAATTGTAAACAAAAGATATTTAAAAATTCTTGAAGAACTTTTTCAAAAATTATTAAAAAACAATTGACTTAAAAAAGAATTTTAATTGAAAATTCTAGAAATGAATAATCGTATATAAAATAATATTTATTTAAAAATAAAGTTCTTTAGAGTCAGTTAAATTAAAATTAAATTTAAAAAATTTATTTTATAAAGGAAAAAATTATGTTTATTTAATAAATAAATTATCAGGTATTATAAGAAATCAAAGAGCATATTTGAATATAGAAAAAACAAATTACGACAGGAAAGTAGTTTAAAGTTTCTCATACCTTCAAAAAATGTGTTTTGTACACCTTAAAATTAGTGTTAAAACGAAACATGAAAAATTTTTCTTCAATTGAGGGCACCACTGCCTTATGTAAGTTAGTATTGGTAAAAACACGAATTCGGAAGACATTTCAGTTCAAATATTATTACACTGATAAGAATTAATTTTTATAACCAGTCAAGTTTGCATAATTGATCATACATAGATCGAGTGTTTTAGCAATGTTCTACAAATTCTAATTCTCAGAAAACAAAAATGGAAACATATTTAAAATCAGGAATAACACATTAATAATATCGCAGAAAAAGTAATTTTAATTTTACATTTCAAAAACATAAAAAAATTTATGTATTAATAAATGACAATTTATTTACTATTTTATAGAAGAGAATAAATTATTTTATTCCTTAGTTAATCTAATGTTACAACATTAATTAAATAAAATTAAAAAATTAATTTTCTCAAAATAACCATTACTTATTATAGCCAATTCTTATATATTTTTTTATTGAGATATTAAACAATTGCAAGGATTTTAAATTATTTGTTTTTATCATTGAAGATTCAAGTTATAAAAATTTATTAAAAATATATTACTGTTTATTTCGTGTTATTTTAAATTCTAAAAATAATACCAGGGGAAATTTTGTCGTACGTGAATAATATAAGAGTTGAAGTTTTATATAAAAATACATGAAATATGTTAGTTATTAAACTAAAACGTTTGTAAAATTACACTTGTAATAGGATATATTGATCATACGGTAGTGAAAGTATATCTTATGGGTGAAATAAAAAATTCAAATAATGTTCTTCAATTATTTTTAAAATCGTCAACTAAAAATAATATTTTAGATTAACTGAAAATATTAGTAAGTGCCTTTCGCTTTCATTAGATTACTGAGATTTTTTCTAAATGGTATCTGAAAACCGGTTTGAGACGTTGTCGTGGTAGGTCAGTTGTAGTACGTTGATAAACGATAAATATAAGATTAGAATAGAAACTTTCAAAACTGGACCAATGACGTTTCATTAAAAAAATTTCCCTAAATATTCTTTTATCTCTAAAAGAAAGACTTCAGACTATTTTTGAATTCCACAAATGTTATGCATAATTTAGTTCTTAGGTAATCCATTCAGATAACATTAATTGCTTTTCTACAAAAATTAACATATATATATATATATACATATATTATATTTATGCATATAAGTATATTTATAGGGCGAAATTCCTGTAGTGATCGAAGTGAAAAATTAATTTTCACAGATCAGGTTGTAACTTGCACAAATTTTTGCACTATGATTAAGTATATCAACCCCTAAATATTTTTCGATTTTAGCAAAAATTTAGAAAAGGAGGGGTTTAAAATTTTGTTTTTATATAAATAGTGAATTTTATGAAAAGCTGTAATTCAAGTGGAAATTTACCATCGGCTGGGTATTGCACCAGTAGTACTAGTAATGTATACCGTCATTACGTTCCGAAAGATAACTCGGCTGCGAACAGTTCATGGCACTGGCGCTGTCCGACAATCTCAGGGTTGACACAAAAATTTAATTTTGTTTTTCCCTGACTTTTTCCTGATTTCCAGACAAAATTTTCACTTTATCCCTGACCCTGAAGAATATTCCGATTCACTCCAGAAGTTATTAGATACTTAAAAAAATGTTCGGACTACATTTATTTACGAATTTATTTAAAAAAGAAGATATTATATTGTTGTCTTTGAATAATTTTACAATTAAAGAATTGTAAAATTATTCAAAAACAACAATAACTTCTTTTTAAATAAATATTTAATCATTATTATTTTTCTATAGGAATTAAGATTTTCAAATTCAAACCTTTTGAAATTCAATAACTTATGAGAATATTATCATAAAAAATGAAGTTTAACGTGAAGAAATAAAACATGAACATATTTTATACTTTTAAGATGACAGAGCGATAATTACATGTTGGCAGCATTAAAAATTTAAAAAATTTGATTTTTCCCGAAAACCACTGGATCGATTTAAATGAAATTTATACGTGTTTTTATAAATTAATAAGAGAATTTTTTAAAAAAAGTTTCAAAAAAATTTAATTACAAAAAACCCTAAAAATTTTTTTTTGAATTTTCAAAAAATTTATTTTTGGTTTTATTTTGGAGATACTACTTTGGAATTTTTACAGAAAATTCTCCTAAATGTGTACTTTTAAGAAATATT